GTTACAAGTTTGACCACATAATCAATTATTTCAACATTTAGAAGATTTGTCTCAAGACGAGGCAAACCTCAACAGGTATATTCAGATAATGGATCAAATTTTGTTGGTGCGAAGAATGAGTTAGAACAGTTAGGTTTATTTTTAAAAAATCAATGCAATTCTTTGGCAGAAACTTTTCATAATGAAGGCATAAAGTGGAACTTTATTCCTCCAAATTCACCAAATTTTGGGGGGTTATGGGAAGCGGGGGTGAAATCCTCTAAACACCACTTAAAACGTGTGGTTGGTAATGCATATTTAACTTTTGAACAATTATATACAGTACTAACTCAAATAGAGGCTGTTCTTAATTCTAGACCTCTTACTCCTCTTTCTTCAAACCCTAATGATATGGATGTTTTAACTCCTTCTCACTTCCTTATTGGTCAACGTTTAACTTCAATACCTGATCCAGATGTTCGAGACATTCCAGAGAATCGACTCTTCAAGTTCCAGCACATGCAACTGATTTTGCAACACTTTTGGCACAGATGGTCAAAGGAATATTTGGTAGAGTTGCAACAGCGACAGAAGTGGAAATTCCCGTTCCCCAATCTAACTGTAGGACAAATGGTTCTTATGAAAGAAGACAACGTTCCTCCTCTACAATGGAAAATTGCAAGAGTAATCGAAATTTTCGGTGGACCTGACAATAAATGCCGGGTAGCGAAAATAAAAGCAAGCAATGGTGAATTTACACGAAGTGTTTCAAAACTGTGTCCTCTTCCATTAGATGCTTAATTTGTTATAATTTAATTTATTTGAAAGATTTCTTTCAAGGTGGCGGGAATGTACAGTATTCACACCCTGTATTCAATTTGTTTTGTATCGTAGTAATAGTTTGTTGAAAAAAATATATATATATATATATATATATATATATATATATATATGCAAAATGCCTTATACACCTCCAAAATATATATGTTTTCAAAGAATACGCCTCAAAAATCGGAGGCGACTTCGAAAAATCGGAGGCCAAATCGAATGTATGTGTATAACAGGTTCATTTATGTTTTTACAACAATGGGAGGTGTTTGCCAAATTTTTTGTCGGAGGCCATTTCGTGACATACACATATACAGTTACACAATGAACTTGGCCGATTTTCCACTACGCGGCGCCACCCTCTAATACACATATATAGGCACATACTTGGGCAATACGAATTAGCCTTTAAGTAGTCTTCACGCCAATGTACCTCCTAAATTTGGCAACAATGAACGGAGGTGTGTTGGTGAGGTGCACTTTTATATACATAATATTTCATAGGAGGTGTGTTGGTGCGATGCACTTTTATATACCTAATATTTCATTTACTATTATTCCTACCGGCAATTTTTATTTTTGGACCTTTCGCGACATCATATATAATTATTGCATACAGTGTGTCCACGGATGGACTTAACTATACTTATAAAAATGTTTATTTAAAATAAAAAAAGTGATTTTTCATAATTTCTTTTGCTTGTTAAATAAATATGATACACGTTAAGAAACTTCGAGTTTTTGTACAGGGTGTACAATAAAAATACAATTTTGGATTTCCAAAATGAAAATTTTGTTAATACAGTTTTTTGAACCGCTCAAATTAAGAGCTTTTAAGGAGAACTCAAATAGCCAAATATTATTAAATATCATCCAAGTCCATCCAAGTCCATCCTTGGACACAATATATATTTATTGGCCCCTTTCAAAGCTATATAACTTTTAAACTAGTTAAGATAACTAAATGCAGTTTTCACTAGTCGTCTTTTTTTCTGAGTATGTCTTTTTTTTGCTCACTTTTTGTTAAACCGAATATGTCGTAGACCTAGTATTTTCAAATGGAAGACCCTGTAGATTTTTATATATTTAGAATCATTCTTCTTTTTACTTTTTAAAAATGTAGATGCTGTAATAGTTTAAAAAAATTGAAACAAAAAAACTAAAAATTACACTTTGAACAATAATTGAAATAGTTATAAATCCTCTCGAAAATTATTAAATTTTTAAGAGGGCCTAATAAATAATGACGGAATATCAATAAAAATAAAATACTTGTTTACAAAACATATTTATTTAAAAAAGGTACAAACATTAAAAGCTCAAATTAAAAAAGTACATACAAATTTAATGGATTGGTCCCACCTAAGAAACAGAGCTTGGAAATATTGGGTAATACCCTAATATTACGATTTTCGCTTGAGCTGGAACGGTATAATAGGTTTTATAGTAACCGGTAAATGGAGGGGGAAAATTTTATGGCGTGAGAAGATCTGACATAGCCAGTCCCGTTTTCAAATTATTTATTAACAACTAAAATTCTGGTTTTATTTATTGACTTGCCGAAAAATGGTACTTTTTTATACTTTAAAACTAGCTATTCAAATCAATTACACAAAATTTTCTCTATTTGAAACCAAGATTTTCTAAGGTTTTAAGTATAATGTATATCGGGAGTCCATAGCATTGGGCTGGTAATAATGATTTTAATTAATTAAAAGTTGAAATTTAAGTAATTAGTAATTTCAGGTCAGTAATTAGTTTTTTATGTACTGATTATGTAATTTTTCAAAACACAGGTAAAGTGCTTTATTGGTTACATTTCTATATACAAAATAGAATATTTGAGGATCCTATTTGAAATAATCGATGGCGAAACGAAAAATAGTATTTAAAACATTTTTCGGTATGTCAATAAATAAAATCGCAAAAGCTGAAAAACGAAAATAAAAAATTTAATTGTTCCTTAACAACATAAAAAGGTTTCTGTTTGAGGGATATTGTTCCCCTTAATAGGTAACATTTATCACATCTGACCGAATTTGTATATCAAACCATTTACGAAATCCCCATCCTCTGCATATTTATGAGGCACATCATTTAAAAAGAATTAAAACAATAATAATTAAAATGAAACGAAATTCAAAAATTCTTATAAAAGCACAGTATTGATATAAACTAATAAATTATTTATTTATTTCTGTAAATATTGTAAACAAATGTTTTTACTCTAACCCAATCTTTGTTTCCAAGAATATCTGGATGGTTTTTGATTAAATTTAGACATTCATCCTTTTTAGGGGCCTTTTTTAATGTAATATTATTTTTGAAATGGGTTTTCACCAGTTGCGCTTGTTCGGATGTCCAACGAGTCCTTCCCTGAATATTTATCTTCGTTTTAATACTCTCGGTGTTATCTGCAATTAAAATTACTTTTAATAACGGCTCCTTTTACAGGTAGGTACTTCATAGTTTGAACATACAAGGTGCGGAACATAAAACTAGAACATTACGATACTGATGGAAATGTGAAAATTTGAAGATAAAGGTGAATTATTTAGTGACTATATTTTACACAAAAATTTCCTTTATTCCTTTTCTACTCATATCTCTAACTTGTTTTTTGTTGTTATGTTGTGTTGTATTATAATATTATTTTATCACTGTAGGAGAAAAATTAAAACTATCCCGTTAGAAAAGTTTAAATTCCGTAAATCTCAATTGCCATATTTCACGTCCAATTGATTCAGGATAACTCGCTTACTAAGATTTATGTATAGTTTGTATAGAAAAGTCCAGAAAGTTACCTTGAACAGGTAGTAAAATTGGTCTATTATCTATGGGTTGTTCGTCATCGTCTGAGTCAACTTCAGGATATTCTTCTGCAGGGTTAATATCTATCTCGTTCAAAGACTTTCCTTTATACATATCAACTCCTTTTTCCATAAGTAACAATAACTTTGACACCTTTGCGGTTTGATATAAATTCTGGGGCAACCTATAATAAATGAAGTAGGAAAGGATTAAAGTTTAATATTAATAAAGTTTAAATATTGATTACTTCCCGAAGATATTTTAACAAATTCTATAATTAAAAACTCGTATGTTAGGCTATTAATTATGTCCTAAAAAACTTGGCAATAAAGAAACATCACCTTTGCGAGTTTTTATTACATGAATCATTCAAATGGTCATTAAAAATAAAAAACCGAGGAGTGCTATTGAATTAAAGGGTGGAAATTGGAAATAGGTGTTAAAATGCAACTCGTACAGTTTTTAAATATATCTCGAAAACGAAGAAAAATTCAGGTATTGTTATGATTTTTTTGTAGAGAATGCAATTTCTTTTCCCCTAAACCACAGGTATTGGTACCGTTTAGCGATTTAGTGCAAAATAAATGATTATAAATTAATACTTTTTTATCTAAAGAGCGCAAAACTTTTTTACTCGAATAACATTAACTAACTTACCTTCGTCAGCGAAATTTACACGGGCTAACTCAACGAGTCTGCGAGACCTAAAAATAATAGATTATAAGTGGATTGTAAAATTCTAAATAATTTTTTTACCAACCTATCCATTGCTCTGATACACTTTACATGTACAACACACAACTCATAGATCCGGAGCCCAATACAATGATACCTCTTAGTGATTACCATAGGTATATATAATCAGGAAACGAATCGACCCCCACTACCAACTGCACGTTACCTGAAATATGGCAACGGTGCTGGAGGCGTAAAGGGCAACTTCTCTTGCAAAATTTTATACAAAAGAGGCGGATCACTTAAAAAATTTGTAGAGGCGTGTTACATTTATAAGTATGCTCAAAATTTGTATATTTTTAAGTACTTTGTTTTTTACCCCTCAAGGGCTCCATCTATAAAAATATAGTTTTTAATTCTATTGGAATCAAATACACTCATTTGGTTTTAGTATTTAACATGGAGGCTTGGGTGCCTGTATTACGTATGGAGGCGAATAAGATAGCTGTGCATGTATATATATATATATATATTGTCAAAAATTAATAAAATGATTGTCACATTGGAATTTGGCTATCATTACAAAAAATCAACATAATAAACCTATTTGGAGGATTAATTCTATAAATACAGTCCAAACGGGAGATATCCCACACATATACTGAAATATATTTATGTATTTATGACCCTTATATTTCTTTTTTCAGAATATTTAAAAGTGGTCCGAGATGCTCTGCGCGCCAACAGCGTAGAATGCGTAAACGCGATAAAAATGGGAATCAAACAAATTGACACGTTACTCCTCCAAAGTGCTGGACAACAAATCATTGCAGACAAATTCAAGTATTTCGAGAACATCGATCGCAGTAATAACAAATCAATCGACTTCTCGCTCTTCTACAATAGGCTAAAACATGAGTTCTCCCTTGTGGTTCAATACAATCCAGAAGAGTTCATGTCAGTCGAGAATTTGTGCGATATAATGACCAGTGAAAATTTTGGAATGGAGATCGATAGATTGGCAGTGGTTGATTATTCGTTTTCTAAAAATAGAACAAATAGTTTGGAAGCAGGTTCGTGTCTTTTTTTTAATATATTTAATCTCTTTTCTGAAAAGTCGTGCATATTTTTTAAATTAAAAACACAACTTCACGTCCACGCATAAAAAGCTGCGGGCAACAGCTAGTTATTCATATGCAGGTCAAATAATAACCATCACTCTGAACATTTTTGTCCAAATGTTGATGTTTTAGGTTTTGGAAAAACAGGATATGAAATTATACCTTATTATTTTTCTTTTCGCCATAATTATGAAAATTCATGTTATCGACTTGGCCACTTTCTATTATTAGACACAAAAATAGAAGAGATTTTGAAAATTATGTAGATGCATGGGTGAAAATGTGATGATTCTATTTATCAAAGCAATAGGTATTATTATTACCTGCTCCATGGTCTTCATTTTACTCGTACAATATCTCTAATAAACGAAATTTCCATTTTGGTAATGAAACCACCTGTTGCGTTTATAAAGTGGCCTGTATATTTGGCAGCAGGCTAATACTCAATTATTGGTCGTTGAAATATGAAGTCAGTTAGTTATATTTAGTTTTGGTTAGTGGTATCACTGTACGGTTGACAGAATATTGACGTATGTCAGATGATGTCGTGTTGTTACATTGATAAGGCAACGTAAGGATACGTCATATGTATTATTTTTAACCGACTTCAAAAAAGGAGGAGGTTATCAATTCGTCGCGATATTTTTTTTTATGTATGTTCAGCGATTATTCTTTAACACGGTGTCCGATTTCAATGATTCTTTTTTTTGTTAGAAAGGGGATATTTCAGGGGTGGTCCCATATAAATTTAGTCAAAATCTAATAATTGGGTCCATGAGAAAATCTTCAAACTCTTCATTTTTTATGTATGTTTAGCGATAATTTTTTAACACGGTGTCCGATTTCAATAATTCTTTTTTTGTTAGAAAGGGGCTACTTTAGGGGTGGTCCCATATAAATTTGATTAAAATCTAATAATTGGATCCATGAGAAGATCCTCAAACTCTTCATTTTTTATGTATGTTTAGAGATAAAGTCGGTTTTTTAAATTTTTAATTTGTAATACTTGTTGATATACAAAAGTGGGACCGGTAGGCGTGGCTTTTGCACTCACTAAAATGGCGGAAGAACAGAACCGGATTTACAAGTTTTTATTGTACTATTTCTGGTTAAATATCATTATTTGAACTATAAAAAAATTAATTTCCTTTTTAAAAGCTTAAATATGCCCGGTTTTCAGACGAAAGGTGCTGAATAAAGTAAATGAAAGAAATAAAATATAACTGATTTAATTATCACTCAAGTGGCTATTAAGCGCTGGAGAATATATTATTTACAAAATTGCAACTAATCAATGACCATCATATACCTAACTAACTTGGGGCCGATTTCACCATTGGGTTTAACGAAGTTTAAAATGACATTTTTACATAAAATTTAATTTTAATCTTTAATTAATAGTTTAAACTTTAACACAATGGTGGAATTAACCCTAAAGCGTTGAAATCATTCACAGAAAAAATAAATAGTACATTTTTGGTTTACATAGGCGACAAAAGTAAACAGAGTTCGATTTATTGGATCAGTCGTCACACGTTTGCATTAGGGCACATAAACAGCTCAATCTTTAGTTTTTCGTTTTTCTATGAGCCCAATGCTTCTGTCTTTATCGGAAAGTACAAGGTCGCAAATGTCAACTAATCTAACCATGGAGGAAGAATCTAACCTTACTTTAATTAACAGCTTTCTCGTAATTAAGAACAAATGTTCATACACTAAAAGCTCGATAATCAGATATGAAACTTAATGCAAGGCTCGCGGAAAATGGCTAATAAGCAATCTCTGTGTAGGTAGATGCACTATTCAGGAAATCAAAATGTGGATTATTCTTTTTTTTTTCCTGGGCTCGTCTGACTATGTGTCTCCGAATAAGACTGAAGCCTATTGGCTTATTGTGTTTTACCCCATGTTAGTTCATAGCACCCACTCTATCACCTTTGTACCTTGTACAAGTTTGTACAGATCTTTGGGTGAGTGGGTTCTATACGGTGTTGGATCAACCTGGGGTTGTCCAAAAAGAGCCTGTCTTTTGCGATCTAGAGCTTCGCATTCGCACAGTATGTGTTTGGCCGTTTCTGGTTTCTTGTGACATAGTCGGCACATGAGTTCCCCATTGTACATGCCAATTTTGTTCAAGTGTCCCTTTACTGTGGCGTGCCCAGTCATGAACCCTGTTATCACTTTTAACTGGTTCCTATTCATTAAGAGTAGTTCTCCAGTTCTTTTGGGACATGGTCTGCCTATAAAGGCTTTTCCATGTGCCTGTTTTGGGGTACTTCCCCAATAGTTGATATGTTGTTCCCGAATCCAGTCATTTATAAAACCCCGGACTGTACTTTTTGGTACTCCTGGGTTTGTGTCTGGTTCCGGTGTTTCTTCTGACCCTCTTTATGCAAGTTCGTCAGCCTTTTCGTTGCCTTCGATCCCTTTGTGACCTAGCACCCAAAATAGTTTTACTCTATTTCGGTCTGCCAGCGTTCTTAGTTCTTCGATGCATTCCCATACCAGCCTCGACGTAACTTTCTGACTCGATATGGCCTTAAGTGCCGCTTGGCTGTCTGACATTATTTGAATATGCTGATTTTCGACAGCTCTTTCATTGTTCGTTTTTGCACATTGCAAAATTGCGTATACCTCGGCCTGAAATACCGAGGAATGTATTCCTATAGCATAGCTATGGTTAGTATCAGGGTTTTTGAAGAATACTCCTGCTCCAGTGCCTTCCGCAGTCTTAGACCCGTCTGTATACCAGGTTTGTTCCTGTCGTTGGGCATTGGGCTCCCTTATGGTGATCTCCGCTCTTTCCTGTATTAAAACCTCAAAGGGAGTATTAAAAGAGTACCTCTTGGTTATGTGGTCTGATCTCATGTCTAGCACGTCTCCTGTGGATTAATCTTTCTTGGTCTTGGTACTTTTGTAGATTCAGACTGAAAGGTGTATATCTTCATGCAAGACATTCAGTAAATCAGCGAAGCCACAACCAGCGGTGTGCAGGTGCACTTCTAACAAATGTAAAATATGAAGTGATCTTACTTGAGACCTATAGATCCAATGGCGATAGTATGGTAGTTGGTTTGAGCTGGGCTTCTCACCATCTGCAGAGATTATGGCTACTTATGTAAAGGCCTACCCTAATAACACACAACATGCACCACAAGCATGCCGGTCCAATTTAATTGATCTGTGCACAATCATCATGCATGTATAATTGAAAGTCAGACAAAGAATGTGAAGATAAAGTTGAAGTCTCAATCATAATTAAAGTCACAGATAAAGTTAAAGTTAACAGCAAAAGAGTTGAAATTGTAGGATGGTGTTAAAGGGAGGCCAACATCTAGGTAATAAATGTTTATTGAGTTAGAAAAAGTATCCACTGTGCTTTTCTTAACCACTAAGGTAAAAACCAGAATATTTTCTAATACACAATTTCTTCGCTAGGCAAAATAAGAAATAAATTTGTGAGAGTATTTCCCAAGTGTTTTTCCAAAAGCTCTAAGAACAAAATTGACGAAAATGGCCTAATCCAAGTTCAAATTAAAGATAAGTATCTTACTGTAAAACAAGTAAAACCCCGTTGTTGACTAAATGGTTAAATAATTCATTACCTAGGTGGAAGTAGAACAGGGACTAGAGTTTAGCAGAAAAAGCTACTAGAAAAGGTGAACAAAACAGACTGGGGCATATGAACGTCAAGCAAATATTGTAAACACAGCTTAACAATACAGCTAAAACACTCTCTTGGCGGCAACGGTTTGCGTCGATTTCGTCGCGCATCGCTTAAGCTCCGCCTTCGAAGGGAAAAGACGGTTTTGGCGTTCAGAAGTGTACTTAGGTAAGGTGTTGAGCCGTGCGTATAATTTCGTTGATTGTATAATTTCGTGGAGCCTATAATTTCGTAGATTTTGTTTGAGTTAAAGGTACTGTTATTATTTTGGTGACTCTTTAGCTGTGAGTAGAATGAATGAAAAAAAAGACATCATTCTGTTTGTGCAGTCAAAAGCTGTTTTAATAAGGGTTATACCTGCAAGAAAACATTCTTTAGTTTTCCCAAGGACCCAAACCGATAAGTACCACATTATAAGAAATTTTCATTGTTAAAAATATAATTTATACAGGGTGTCCCATTAGTGCGTTATTGTTCATTATTTTTATTTATTTATTTATTTATTTATTTGTTACACCAACCAACAGTAATCACCATTTACTGGGTGGGAAAGACAAGAAAACATTAAAATATAAATACAAATACAAAATTGTTAAAAAGCTATACAATACAATGTAAACATCCAGAAAAAAAACTGACCGAACACAGGATAAAAAGAAATGGTTGTCTACATTGCATTACATGCTGTACATCATTTTTTTTACATTTACAAAGAAAAAACATTTTTATTCATATGTTTTTTGCATGCAAAACTGTCCAAGCTGTCTTGAATTTCATGATATTTTTGAATAGATTGGTACATTGGAGATGAGTTTAAAACATTAGTTCTAGAAGCAGGCATGTAGAAACTCAAGTAAAGTAGACACGCAAGAAAGTTTTAAATAAAAGTTATATGGATTTGAAAAATACCTACATATTTTAAAAATATCTTTGGATATACAGGGTGTCACGTTTTTGCCTGGCAAATTAAAATGTATGTTTTTTAAATGGAACACCTTGTATTTTATTTTATGATGAAATTATTAACACCCTAAATTATTGTAAAGACGAATTGCTACAGAAAATTTTTATCAGGTATGTGTGTGGTTACCTTTTAATAAAAGCCTTGCGGATCCACTCCTGCGATACCTGTCTTAAATATAACAAAGATCACGTTGAAATAGATGATTTTTCTTTTTATTGCTTTTTAAAGGCATATGATAACGCCAATTCAGATACATTTGGAAATCTGCAACTGTCAAATGATGAATTTGTAGAACTAATATTCAATATTGAAAAGATATTTCAA